GCATCTATTCAAGCTTCTTGATGGAGTAGTTGAAGAGATGGGTGAGGAAAATGTCATGCAGGTAACTTACCATGTCATCAAGCTTAATTCTTTCCCCCATTTTGGTCAGTTATCATTATCCTTCTATTAGCTAATTACCATGTGCAACACCCATGCGCACACACATACACAGAATAATAACAGCAACACCAACAATCACTTTTACCATACAAAAAAGAGCTATTTCAAAGCTTAATTTTGTCCCTAAAATACACATTTCGTATCTTTTTGTTGTCCCAAAAAACAGTCACATTTCCACATGAAACATCATTTTTCATTGGATATAATGTATTATTTAAAGAAAGAAGTGTTCAAACAAGATAAATGTGTGGAGTATAGTTGAAGAAACAAATAAATCTAAAGTAGTGTTGATCATCTATAAGAGTTGTACCTTAAGGAAATGTAAAAGTTGTACCTTGATGAAATAAGATTTTTTTTAATATTTTGGACAAAGTAGTAATTATCTGTCCGTGCAGGTGATCACTCAGAATACACCAAGCTATCAAGCTGCAGGAAAGATGCTTGAAGAAAAAAGGAGGCATTTGTTTTGGACACCTTGTGCTTCAGATTGCATTGATCGAATGCTTGAAGATTTTTTGAAGATAAAATGGGTTGGAGAATGTATAGAGAAAGGACAGGAGGTCACGAAATTCATTTATAACCGACTTTGGTTGTTAAGTCTAATGAAAAAAGAATTTACAGGGGGGCAGGAACTTCTAAGACCATCTTTCACCAAATTTGCTTCAAGTTTTACCACCGTCCAGAGTTTGCTGGACCACAGGAATTGTCTTAAGAAAATGTTTCAATCAAACAAATGGCTCTCATCTCGATGTTCAAAATCAGATGAAGGCAAAGAGATTGAAAAAATTGTTATGAATGCTTCATTTTGGAGGAAGATGATGTATGTGAGGAAATCAGTTGACCCTATCTTGGAAGTTCTTCACAACATCAATAACAATGAAAGCCATACAATACCTTTTATCTACAATGATATGTACAGAGCAAAACTTGTGATTAAAGCTAATCATAACGATGACGTGCGTAAGTACCAACTCTTTTGGGATGTGATAGACCGTCATTGGAATATTTTATCTCACCACTCACTCTACCTGGCTGCTTACTTTTTGAATCCTTCATACCGGTATCGTCCTGATTTTATCCCGGTAGGAGAGGCTTATTTCTTTTAAAAGTTTAAATAATGTAATTATTCAAAAAATGGCTTAGCTATTACATCTGTTTCTCTTTGTAGCATCCAGAGGTTGTACGTGGGCTGAATGCATGTATTGTTAAATTGGAAGCTGACAGCACCCGTAGAATTTCTGCTTCTATGCAGGTTGTACTTGGGCTCATTATTAATATTAATATTATTATTACTATTAATATTATCATTATTTTTAAAGTTGTTTTATGAAGATGGCTGAATCTCTTCCGTTCTATCTTGCCTGCTGCTAACAGCAACTCCTGTGATATCTAGATATCTGATTTCAATGCTGCTAAAGCTGATTTTGGGACTGATTTGGCAATTAGTACCAGAATGGAGCTGAATCCAGGTTAATATTCTATCCATAATCTTTTGAGAACAGTTTCCTTAGTGGAACCAGAGATGATAATATATGTGTTTCACTTATTCTGTATGGAATTTTGAAGTTGTACTGACATATATAGTCCTATCTAGCTGCATGGTGGCAACAGCATGGGATAAATTGTTTAGAGCTACAGCGCATAGCTGTACGAATACTAAGTCAAACTTGCTCATCTTTTGGGTGTGAGCATAACTGGAGCATTTATGACCGAGTTCATGATCAAAGGCATAACTATTTGGCGCAGAAAAGGTTGAATGATGCGATCTTTGTCCATTATAACCTGCGATTTAGGGAACGACAGAGGAAAGTGTCCAATGATCCCATTGTACTTGACAGTGTGCTACAAGAAAGTTTATTTTATGACTGGATTGTAGGGTCAGACAGAGAAGTCCTTCAAGAAGATGAGGTACTAACTAGCCATTCCCTGCGCATGTGATGTTTTCCGTGGTTTTGTTAACGGATGCTCATTTTCCTCTAATGTGTGCTTATTTCTTTGTCAATTAAGTCATCTTTTTCCTAATTTTTAGAAGTTTACTCATTTTTCTAAATGATGCTTATTTTCCCTTTTTTATTCTCACGAGTCGCGATTCATTTTCATTCTGATAATTTTATCTGAAGTATGTTTATTTGCATAAGACAGTTGTTGAATTTTCTTTAGAGTTTTGCTCACTTGCACATGTTTGATGTACATCCGGATGTACCATATACACAACTGCCCTAGGCTACCTTAAGTAGTTTAATTAGTTGAGTGCCCCACACCTATACGGCTTCTGCCTGTCTGTTCTGTTAATTACTCCTTTATTTAAAGATAGTTATTCAAATAACCATTCATTGGGATCCTAATATATACATTTTTTTTTAAATGGTTCTCCTAATAATTATAATCTTATTATAATTATTCATAATCTAATGCAGGAAGGTCTGTACAGTGAAATGGAACTGGGTGAATATGATGATAATGATTTCACGGAACATGATGGTGGTGGAAATGGGATGGAGATGATGTCGCTAGCTGGTGCTGCTGGACCTCTGGAAGTTCATCATTGGAGAACAGACGAAGATGAAGAAGATGATCTCAATTTTTTAGATGATGACATCAGTGATTAGAATCTCCAGTCTAAAGCCAACAGACTACATGAAATCAGTTTTCAGGCTTGAAACACAAAATTTGAGTTCCCCCCAGTAAGACCTCATTGTATAAAAATGGCTCACATTGAAACACTAGAATTTCGGAAGCAGCCACCCTCATATTTTGTACTCACACAGAGCAAAAAGAAACATCCAATCCGGGGTAGCTATTTTTGAGCCGCTATAAATCAGCCAGCAGCCTCATACCAAGTAATAGAATTTTTTCTGGTTTTGTGCAAGGGGGTTTGTGAATCAATTTTTGTGCTATACTGAATGTAAACTTTTTCTTGAAATGCAAGAAAGAGGGGTGATGAATAGAGAGGGTTATTTTGTTGTATCCCTTTTTGAAGGGAAAAAAACACATCACGATTACATTTTGACCTCTTACCTACAAGGCTACAATGCCGCACGTTACCAAAACTTCTGTCATTCCGTGTCTTCTGCATCTTTTGGTAAAGTTTTCGAAATAGGAGTAAATAGATTTCAGAAATTCAAAATAGTATTGTTATGTTCTCTTTCCAAAATGGGAGTAATATGATAGTATTTGCTACATCTTGGTGTCATCTTGGTGTCATTACTGTCAAACATGTGTAGTACTAGGCTAACAATATTTATTGTCATTAGTAGCATAACAACTCCTATTTTGAAATGAAAAATACATACCATTCATATTCATATTTTGGAATTTGAAAACGTATTCAACCCTATTTAGGGCAATTCCCCCAACATTTTTCATTCTTTGAGAAAATGAGGGGGTTAACCGCAAACTGTAAACTAGGCCTGGACTCGGGCCGGGCGGCCCGACCCGGAACCGGCCCGGCCACTGTAGCAACCGGCCCGGCCCGGTGGCCCGGTCCACCGGCGGTTCGGGTCGAACCGGCCCGGTGGTTCCCGGTTCCGGGCCCGGGCCTTCCATATGGTGAACCGGCCCGGCCGGTTCGGGCCCGGTCCGGGCCGGATTTAAATTTTTTTTTTTTTTGAAAACTTTTTTAAGTCTTGGGTTGGAATAGGTATTTTGGGTCATTTGAAGTGGTTTGGGGTTGAGGGGGAGGGGTAGGGGATTAAATAGGAGAACCAAAAAAAAAAAAAAAAAAAAAAAAAAAAAAATTGGACCGGTTTGGCCCGGCCCGGCCCGGTTTGGCCCGGAACCGGCCACCGGCGGTTCGGGCTCGGGCCTCCCCTTTCTTGGCCCGAGGCCCGGCCGGGCCCAGGCCCGAACCGGGCCCAGGCCCGAACCGGGCCCGAACCGGCCCGAGTCCAGCACTACTGTAAACCTATCCTTTTGCTTGGGACTAGTGGTGGACCGGTTCCGGGGCCGACCGGCCCGTGGCCCGGTACGACACTGTTTGGAACCGGCCCGGTGGCCCGACCAAAGACCGGTCCGGGCGTGCTCGGGTCATCAAAAATAGGAACCAGCCCAGCTGGGCCCAGTTCGGGCTTTTTTTTTCAAATTTTTTTTGTTTTTCCCGAATTGGGCTGGGTGTTTTAGGGGGTGGGGTAGGGGGGGGGGGGTCGGGGATTAATTAGAAAAGCAAAAAAAATTGAAAACGCCCGGGATCAGCCTGGCCTGGCCCCGGTGGAAACCCGGGCCGGTTTGGGGCCCGAAGCCAAACCCTAGCCGGTTCCGGGCTCCATTACATGATATATCTCTAATCTCTAATAACATAAAAATGAAGTTTAACCACTCAAATATTACCACATGGTATTAGTGCTGGACTCGGGCCGGGCGGCCCGAACCGGAACCGGCCCGGCCCGGTTACTGTGTGAACCGGCCCGGCCCGATGGCCCGGTCCACCGGCGGTTCGGGTCGAACCAGCCCGGTGGATACCGGTTCCGGGCCCGGCCCTCCATTTGGTGAACCGGCCCGGCCGGTTCGGGCCCGGTCCGGGCCGGAATAATTTTTTTTTTATTTTCTTTTTGAAATTTTTTTAATTTTTGGGTTGGATTAGATATTTTGGGCCATTTGAGGTGGTTTGGGGTGGTTTGGGGTTGAGGGGGAGGGGTAGAGGGTTAAATAAGAGAAGCAAAAAAAAAATGGGGCGGGTGAACCAGCCCGGAACCGGCCCGGTCCGGCCCGGAACCGGCCCGGTCCGGCCCGGAACCGGTCACCGCCGGTTCGGGCCCGGGCCCTCCTATTGGTGAACCGAGGCCCGGCCGGTTCAAGGCCCGAACCGGGCCCGGCCCGAACCGAGTCCAGTCCTACATGGTATGTGACAAACAAAAAAGGTAAAACACGACAAGTTAGAGGGCGGGGAAATTAATAATGATCATATTCCTGCTCAGTTATTGCATATAATGACTACTTAAAAAGCCTGATATTTTTACACCAAGTTACAACTCACAAACAAGTACTAAAAACAAAATTTTAATTGCAGGTTGAAGACAAAATTCCCAACGGATAGCGATAATAAAATAATTAATAATGCATACAACGTCTCAACTAATTCCGCTAACTGCTTCATCTCCCATAAACTTGGTCCTCTTTTGCTCATATCCAATTCTGAGAATATAGTTTCATTTACTATTCTCTTTTTTATGTATCGTTGCCACCATAGGAATGCATTTCTGCACGATTGCAACGGCTCCAAAGTGCAGTGACCAACCTAGCAAAATAAGAAGTGGTGGCTTATTTTTAATACCTTTAAATGGAAGAGAACAAAATGTGTTGTATTTACTTGCTACACCCCTGAAATAAAAAAGATAGTATATTTGTTGCTTGCACTCTAAAACACATGAACATTGTTTGGATTGAGGAGCTCAATTACGAGGAAAATGGACAAGCTAAAAATTTCTCCAATCTCATAACTTAGGGGATTTTAGGGAGTTATTTTTTTTCTTAATTTCTTTTGGGTTTTGTTTGAAGTGCGAAAATTGCTCAATGTTATTATTGAACTCTCATTCTTTATTAGTTACAACAATTTGACTTTTCTATTCAAACACCAACTTTGACCACATTTTATTTAAATGTCTTAAAAACTGTATTTTAAAAATATTTGCGAATTTCTCTCAATGTAAAATATCATCATCTTCATCATCATTACTCAAGTGCCGCAAAGGCTCCCCACCTATGGTGCGGTAAGGGGGATCGGATGTACAAAAATCTTAATCATGTACTAAAACACATAGAGACTGTTCCTGAATGACCCATAGTGAAATTTGCGCAAAAATTGCATGGACTGATTACTGCTTCATAACAAAGAAGCGCAAACAGTTTAGTGAATCATTTTGTTTTATTCCATCATATTCCGATGCCAAAAAATAGTGAGTCTTTGGCTCCATTGCAAATGATGGAACCATATGAACTTTTTATAATTTTTAAAAAATAACTAGCTAATTATACTAATTGTCAAAGTCATGTGTTGTCAAACATGACAGTCAAACTTTTGCAACTCTATAAATATACCAGTTTTTAATGATAAAAAAATTCAAGTTAAATATAGTAATTTTAGATATCTTTTCAATAACTAATTGCACCCCACTCTTTGACCTTAACACAATATTTTTTATCACCTTGTACTCCTCTTTCCATTATTTGAAATGGAGCCAAAAACCAACTATTTTTTGGCTTGAGAATATGATGGAATAAAGCAAAATGACTCACTAAATTGTCTGCGCTTCTTTGTTATGAAGCAGTAGTCAGTCTATGCAATTTTTGGCGTGATTTTCACTATGGATCATCCGAAAACAGTCTCTATGTACTTAAGTACAGGGGTAAGGCTACGTACATCCGACCCCCCCTCACTCAACTGTAGGTGGGAGCCTTTGCGGCACTGGGGTAATGATGATGATGACCTTATACTCCTCCTCTCCCCTCCTCCCCTCCTCTATTGAACCAAACAGGGGCTTAAGGTGGGATGATGGATTTGGCACAAATTGTGGAAATAACTCTATCCTTTGTTGGTCATTTCCTACAACTTAATAATATCAAATCCCAGAATTAATAATATCAAATCCCATAAATACTAAAGAGTATTTGATTAACGAATATAGTTCATACCTTTGTTTGCTACAAGGGGAGAGACCATATCCACCAAGTTAGAAGAAAACTGGAGTGGAACACAACATTCGCTATCCCAATTTTTGGTCTACCTCAACATTTGCTTGGAAGGTTGATCGCAGATTTACCACTTCCCTTTGATGGCTTGTTTTCAGCTGCACTTCGCCCATGCTTAAAGGGGCTCGCCAATTTCTTGTGTGGACTTTTAAGTTCTAAGACAGCACTCTTGATTTTAGCGGTCTTAGCATTCTCTAACTCTAAGACAACCTTTGATACGCTCATCTCAGGTTTACTTTTCTCAGGAGATTTCTGTAAAACAACAGTATCCTTTGCACTAGGGTTTTCTGTGTCAGGTTTTGGCAACAATGCACGACGGCTTAACCTAAGTTGTCCTTTGTCATTGATCTGTAATCAGGCAAATTGGTTTTCATAATTAAGGTTGCATTTTATTAAGTGTAGTGCAATGCAATCAGATACTCCCTCCATTAAATAAGATTCATGTTTCCAGCACTACATCGCAAATAAAAGGGGCAAGTTTTAAAAGTCAGCTTTTATTTCAGTAAAATTCCTTTAAAGACAAGCAACAACCAGTTTTAGACGATTATGCTAAACAATTTTGGAAATATGTTTTAGTGGATTAAGTAGTCATTCATAATTTGTAAAAATGTGTAGCTTGGTTGCGTTGACTATAACTAAAAAACATCTGACTCAAATGACGCTTTCTTTTTGGGGAGGGAGGTAAACTATAAGTGAATTTTACATCACTTAAATTTGATTACATGGCATCACACTTCATGACGTCGTACCGAACTACACCTTAGGTTTTGGAATTTTATATCATGTCTAAGAAATAAATACTAGTAAAAGTTACTCAATAAAATCATAAATACAAGTCCAACCTCAATAAGCTTGACATCAATATGCTCTCCTACTTTAACGACCTGAACCAGTGATGAAAAGAATCAAAGATCACACATCTGAACAGAATTGTATTTTTTAATTTGTAAATACACGAAGTTAGAGAAGCTTACGTCTTCTGCTTTGTCCAGCCAATCTGTACTCAATTCACTAATATGGCATAGTCCCTACATTAAAAAGTGTAGATGAGCCATTTCCAGATTACAGGACAAAAGATCCGATGTATACAAGAAAACTATTGAAGTGACAATACCTCTCTGCCAGGAGCAATCTCTACAAAAACTCCAAAAGCAGTAATTGATTTGATCTCACAATTCCTGCTCGAGGAAAAAGAATGCCAAAAAAGAAAGAAAAAAGTATTCAATAACTTAGTAGTTAATAAGTCTATGTTAGTTTGACAAAAATGTTAATTTCAAAAAAGTTAAAAAAGAAATTTGGGGACAAGCCTGTTCAGACAGATTCTATTAGTATGATCATATCATGGCGCAACATAAGCATTTCAAGTGTTAAAATCTACTACAACAAATATGCTAATGATGGCAAATAGTTTCATTTTTAAGGTGAAACTAATTTTGTAAGAGTGAAAAGAGAATAGGAAAATAGTTCCAAGCAGAGGGGCTATTTCTATTGTGGATCTGTGACACCAAAAAGTTGTATAAACAATGACAGTAAACAAAACTGCATTTGCTTTAGGTTAACAGTAAACCAAATCTTAATTGACCTTGATAATGAAACTGTTTTAATTCAAAGGCAGTTTAATAAAACAAACCTGTATATGTCACCAACCGTTGGAACCATTGTGAGATTAAGGATGATGGCTTTGGCCTTTTCTAAAGTTTCCAAATCCTTCGCCATTATCTTCACCTGCAAATTGGCAGGGCAGATCGGTGGCTCTTAAGAATGTAAGTTTGATCTTCTAATGTGAAACATAAACAACCAAATAAGATATTTCTCTAGCTTACGACTCCATCATTTTGTATCTGAATATCTTCAATTCCACTTTCTTCAATAATGCCCTTCACTTTTTTCCCACCAGATCCAATTATAAGATTAATTCTATCAGGTTCGACCTGTGAAATAATTGAATTAGGGAAGGAAAATACATGATAATATCATCATACACTAAAAATATGGTATTGCATCAAGAACAAACCTTCATCACATGAATTATTGGCGCATACTTTGATAGCATCTGTGAAGGAGGTGGCGAGCTCTTCAACATCTCAGCTAAGGAATACAAAAAGGGGAGAAGCGAGCTTAATTTACAGTTGAATGTTTTAAGCAAAACACAACGTAATACCCCGGCCCCGCAGGATCCGAGGTCACGCTCCACAGTACTGTCCTCACAAACCAACACGAGTCTTTTACCGCGCACTTTATCCTCACTCGTGTGCCCCCTGAGAAACTTTTCAGGAAACCACTCATCCTAAGATCACTCCCGTGCGAGCACACTTAACTTGGAATTCTTAGTTGATGAGCTCCTTTCAAAATTGATGCATCTTGTTGGTATGAGTAATACTATTAATCTTTTTTTAAATTAATCTCGAGTGTTACACACAAGCAAACACCGTACGAATGGTACAATCACCAGCACTACTGCCGCAAAGCTCGTATGTATATGAACATACTAGACACTGACGGTATCCAGTGACAGTAATGAATGCATGCATTGCATAAAAAATTAGGGCCGCTAAAGTGTTCTTTATTGTACCAGCATGTTAATGCAGAAAGTAATCTTAAAATCAAAGTATCTAAAGTAGAACATCCAGTGAAGCTTATCCCCATATACACAAAAAAATATCATTCATTTCCATTGATTAAAATTCAAGCACAGGGATATGGAAATAAAGTTAGGGTGAGGGTACCAAGGATCTTTTTTCGACCGTCTTTTGCTTGTAAAAGAGCTTGCTTCATGATTGGTAACGTAATTCCAACCACCTAAGAATGGCATGAGAGATGTGTTGAGGTGAAATTGTATAATCATCGTCATAGTCAGATAGTCTAAGTCCCCACAAACCAACATAAAGTTGCTCATGGAATAGTAGATATCCTTCAACAGTTCAACCAATATAAAAAATTGAACCGAATATAAATGTGCTAATCAATTTCATAATAACAAGTATATTAGCTACCTTAATGTCCATTTGGAATGCAGTGATTCCATCATCATTTCCAGCAACCTACAGTACAAAAATGATTTTATTAAATATGACATTAGTGAATAGAGCTTCATAAAGTAGAAAACCCTATCTATAATACCTTATCTGAATTCCATTGAAGTCCTACAGTTAGATTGGGAGTTGAATTAATATTATACCGTTAGAATTCGGTTACATTAGTGTAGTTGTTTTAGGACCACTGTTATGCAATAGTGATACAATTTTACTAACCACTTAGAAAAGCTTACACCTCAACCTAGGGACACTAAAAAGGTTGACAGACTCTAATGTCACGGACCCCTTTTTGTGCAACAAAGACCGGATTCTTAAATAATGTATCACAGAAACACTAATTGATCCCTAAACGTCTAATAACCCAAGCTTGCCAGGAAATCAGGCGGGTTGTTTCTTTCCTTGAAGATATGATTAGATAGTATTCATCTCCTCATCAACCCCCCTGATTCTGTCAAGAGTATGAACCAATTACCGAGGCAGTTTCTCCTATGCAATGTGTACAGGACATAAGCAGAATTGAAACCTGTTTCTCTCCCCACGTTATTAATAACATGATCACTTGCATAACTCAACACCATCTACAATAGCATTAAGGCCACGTTTGCGATAAACTTAAAAAAAGGTGTTTCAGCGTTTGGCTTAAAAAGCTAAAATGGGTGTTTTGAAGGGACAACTTCTTCTTAAAATAAGCACTTAAAAGCTTAAAGTTGGAAGCAGGTCAGGAGGTGCTTTAAACTTCAAATCACTTTTTCTATTACACGAAAAATATTTTTTCCCAAACACTACCAACTTTTACATTTTCAAAAGCACTTTCTCTCAAACACTACAAACTTTTACTACTCCATATTAAGCATTTTATCTAGAACCACTTTTAATTTCACTTTTTAAAGTAGGAGCAATCGTTTTGAGTTGGAAAGAGAAGCTTTTTTTGTATTCCTTATTTCAGATCATACATCATGACTCCCATATATATAGGGAAGTAAATGATACATTAAAGGACAAAAGAAACTAAAAGTAATGAAGGAAAATGAAGTGTTATGCACATGCTGGAATATAAAAAGGCATATGCTTTAAATGCTATTTCCAACAAATGTCAAACACTCCCTAAGCATTGCATCCAAGATAAACATGTTTGCCATAAAACTAATGAATCTTTGGACAAGTTCCTATCTGCGTTTCATATAATACTAACTCTTGCAGCAAATCGGTCCTCTTTAAGCACACCATCTATATTGAGTTTCATCTTTCCCATGGTAGGCTTGGACCACAAGCTCATTGCTTTCTGATAACATGGGGGTGGGGGTCAGTGTGATTCTTATTACAATCCAGCTTTTTACGCAGTTTATGTATCTACCACATCAGCACTTTTCAATCAGTATAGACTATAGAGTATAGACTATAGACTCTTATATGCTTCAGGTAGTTTCTACAATTCCATAGATGCCAAATCACAAGCATAGGGATCAAACTTCTTTTCCATAATTGCATAGTTTCCCCAATGAGCTGATGGAAGAAATCTCAAATCTCTGTATCTACCATATCAGCACTTTTCAATCAGTATAGACTATAGACTCAATTCCGAAATAGAATTTGATGCCATTCTTCATTTGTTCAATTCCGAAATACTACCTCTGTCCCAAAATTAACTTCGCATTCACTATTCACATGGTCAACTAAAGTTACTCTTAGTCTTTTACTTTATATATCAAACTTTTATCAAATTTAAATTTTCTTGACCAGCCTTTGTAGCAGTATTATGAAGTTTTTGAATATGTAAATTTTATTTACTAGAAATAATCTGTGTGAATAAGGATCAAGTTGCTTCATCGCCAATCAAGCATCGTAATCCGAAATGGGAAGTTGTTTCAGGGTCGGAGGTAGTATTAAATAAGTCTATTTGCTCCTATGAATTGAGAAGGCAGGCAAACAGGTGGTAGTGTTAATCATATGGCAACTGCACCAGATCAGCAAAGGTAACTTGGCATTCAACGTATTGGAAATGTTCTCGCATTAGATACTCTAGGATACCCGTACCGTGCATTCCGGGGGCGTATTTATAATTTATTACAAGTTTCCAACTTTTTTGGTAATTATTTTAAAATTTCGGATACACGTATCAACTTTATTTTATAAAAAAGCACCCAAAATTTACATAATAAAATTCTTAAAAAATGAAAAATTAAAATTAGATTTTACCTTGTTTTAATTCCGCACACAACTAAGTATATGAACGACAAGTAAAATGTGGGATGTTGGTGGAGATGACTTTGGGAGCATAGAGGGCATAGGAGTACTTGAGTTCGCCAACCATTTCATAGATGAACTAGAATTGGAGCTTATCTTTTTCGAAGACGATGTTATCCTTGGATATTAGTAGCTCAAGTGGAAATATGTATTAGAATTTTTAGTTTTTTAATAGAGTATTGTTTTCTATCTCCATTATCCAAGAACTTTGAGTACTTGCACTTTTAATTTCAAAATTGTGGTTGTTTGACTCATTTCTCATTTTAAATTAATAACTTATTGACTATATTTATATTTAGTGATGCATTAATGTATATGAGATAAAGAAGGAATTTATTTCTAACTATCTTGATAATGTGAAATGGTTCAATACCATGAATGAGCAGAGGCTAGAGGATAATATATGTATATATTTTCAAAAAAATCTTGTAATTTTTAATATTTATAAATACAACCCCATAATTTTTAATAGGGAAAAGGTGCAAATAGACCCATGTACTAACCAAAAAAGGTCAAATAAGCCCTTATTTATGAGGCTCTATCCGGCCGTCGTCATTTGGGGTAGTTCCCGGTGGATTTTTTTGATGAAATTTTTTTAGCATCTTATTCATCAAGTCTAGTTAACTCATACAAAATTTCAGCTAAAACTTCAATCGGTAAGGCATTCAAATGAATTCTTGAAGATAACTGTGCTTCTAACTGCGCAGTTAATTTCAAGAATTCATTTGAATGCCTTCTCAATTGTAATTTTTAATATTTATAAATGCATCCCCATAACTTTTAATATTTATAAATATACCCCCGTATTTGTATCTTGCTTTGTTTGTTTTATCGTATCCCCGTACCTGTTTCCGCGTACCCAAATATGATTGTCAGTTTGTCACTACCCAAATATCACTACCCCAGGACTATTTTTATTTATAAATACACCCCCAAACTGATTGTCACTACCCAAATATCTTTGTCAATTTGGGTTCCCAAATTGCAAAAAACAATGATAGGCAACCATAGAAACATAAATTCACACAAGATATTCTACAAATAGCACCTTAAAATCCATATCGCCGGAAGCATCCTCTGATCCTGTGATGTCTGAAAGAATTAGGGGAGTTACATTACCCCCAAATTCTTTGGTGTCCAAAACCATACCCATAGCTACACCCGCGATAGAGCACTTCACAGGAACACCGGCATCCTGCAATGCTAAGCACCCCCCACATACGGATGCCATGCTGTCTCACAACAATTAATAAACAGTCATGTGAAGAGGGCAACATAAATCCAGAGGGGTTTTAGGATTTTTACTCTACCAGCAGTAAGAAAGTAGTGCACATACAGTAAGAATCTAATAATTATAAATATGTGTACATAGTTCAGTAAAGTATTAAAAACCAAACCTTGATGAGCCATTGCTTTCAGTTATTGTACTCTCAACACGTATTGTGTAAGGAAAATCGTCGTTAGAAGGCAGTATGGGTTCTAGGGCTCTCTCAGCCAGCATTCCATGACCAATCTCCCTCCTAGATGGTGCTCCCATCCTTCCAACTTCCCCAACACATGAAGGCGGAAAAGAGTACTAGACGCAGTCAAAAAAAGATAAAGTGTTCTACTTAGCAATGGTGTTCAAATAACAATACTGAGCAGCATTGAGGCTCACTGGAACAAGCAGAGGAAAAAAAAAATTAAGCGGCTCTCATCTTTAGATATTGGAGTAATAAAATAAAGTGGAGGAATGAAGATATAAGGAAAAACATAAAGATGAAATATAATAAAATTTGAAATTCTTTCCGGGAGCTTCCCAGTTGTTACTTCTATATGCAATGCATGACGATGGAGGTAGCTGAAAAAGTGGGGGAAAACGTTGACTAGTGAATTTACTACACAGTAGTGTTAAGTTTGGGTATGAATACTAGTTAACATACACTAAAACAAAAAACATCAAAACAACATGGATCCAAAACAGTGAGATAATAGCATTCATTAAGGAATTAATTGAAACATGATACGGGTCTTGAACTCTTGACCAGCAAAATCAGAGGAGACTTGGGGTATCAATAAGGGACATAAATAAGCAATAAATCAATAATCCAATCAGCATAAGTTTAGAGATTGCTATTAGCAAAACTGATCTATTATGAATATTTCTTTACCTTATTTAAATATTGTGAAAGATTATAATAAGGCTTCCTTTAGAGTTGAGAGATGAGAAAAATTCATGACTATTTTAGAGTTGGGCAGCTCTAGGCTATTGAGCAAGTTTGTCTTGCTGGGGATACCTTCGGCACTTCATGTTCTTTTCGTTCTCCTTACACATGTTTGTTTATTCATTTTTATTTCAGTTTTACAAAACATCTATTTTTAATATTTGTCCCCTTGCCTCTTTACTCTCTATCAACGCCATTCAATGCTTTTGATACCGGTAATTTACAGAAAACAAAATACAACACAAAAATGCATCAGATATTCCGAATAGCAATCATACAAATTTGCGCAACTGATACCTGCAGATAGAATCTCTTATATTCATCTTCATCAACAATGTTATCTATCCTTTGTGCCATTTGTCTGTCACCAAGTGTAACCACTGCTAAAGACTAATAACATGGGCAGTCGGAAAGAGAAGGAGATTAAGAAAACGTCATCGTTGAGTCATAATAACATCACTTAAAAAAACACAGATGAATTCAAAATAACAGGTTCATTTTCAATACATGAGGTCATCAGTTTTAAATGAGCAACTTCTTTGTACTATGTGCTTCTCCCACAATCGTTTGGCATTCCGTTTGTCTTCGAGATTTTGTTGACGTCTGTGAGTCAATCAATCCCAACCCTCCTTAAACACTTTCATAGTTTAATAGGGACCTGCTTACTTAGTGCTGGTAAGTAAAAAGTGAAATTTGGACAATAAAGACTGCATTTTACATGTTCCGAGAATGGCATCACTAAAATGACTGATATTCACAAATTTTTCATGTTCTCTGTTATTTTATGCACATTTTCATATACATATTATATATGCATTACTTTATGCATGCATACACATATCTTAATATCTGTTCTAAAGGATGTGGTACACATTTGAGCAATATATTACAGTACTCTAAGTTCTCTTGCTGTTGACCTGTTTGATAACGCTTTAAACTTTACATGTCTAGTATGTCTCCCAAAGACCTACACTAGAGTACGTACTATGTTGTCTACAATGTAAATCGTCTTAGAAAAACAAAGTTGTGTTCACATTTCACACATATATAAACACAGCAGACAGTCAATGCAGATAAAAACTTGATGCAAATTGTTGTTAGGCCAAACAAGCATCCACCTGTGTTTCTCCTCGCGTAAAAAGAGCACTTCCATGTGCTCGGGGGAGTAGCCCGCAACTCGAACTGATTGGACGTAACTCCTTAAGAGTTCTTCCATCACTTCTCTTTCCTCCCTGTCAAAGTGTCAAACAAATACACGTAAGGGCATAAAACAACTTTTTACAAATAGTAACATAATGACCTTAATTGATGGGAATAGAGATCAACTAATAGAAAACACTCCAAGAGCCTTAAGAGGCTTACGAAAACAACACAAAAGCATTTTTTGATCACATAATTGATGATGAAGTATAAAGTTAGAGCATCTTCAATGCTACGATGTGCACGGTGCACATGTGGCATGAGATATAACCACATAAATATAAATAAATAAATTATCTCTCTCCTTATTTGAATGAGTTTATACAATTTTGGTAAGTTTTTCTTAACAATGTCAATCACAATGTCTACATCTAGATAGTCTCCTTGACATTGCAGAGAAAAACTTACCAAAATTATATTAAATCATTCCAATAAGGAGAGAGATAATTTATTTACTAATATTTGTGTGGCTATCTCATATGCCACATGTGCACCGTGCACATTGTAGCATTGGAGATGCTCTTAGATCGACATGTATTCTAGATACACCCAAGTAATCTCAACTAACTTTTATTATAGCCATATAAAAACACATGCATACTCATAAGATATACCTAGAGTAAAACAATCTGTTCACAAACGTAGGCTATACCCAAAAGCCAAATCACAGGTGAAATGTTGTTAACTCAACAGATATCAAGAGTGAAGTGACGGTATCTACAAATATGCCAAACTGCCAAATAGAGATATCTTGAATGGCAAAATGATTTTCCAGTTTAGAAAAGTCACTTCATTAAGTCTGTACAAAATATAAGGTGCCAAAATGAACTATCATGGTTATCTAATTTTCAAGATAATCTTTATATATGATTCACACTGAATATTCACCTCCACAATCCGCTTGCGCAACAATCTGGATGTGATCTCTTTAAATACCAGCTTCACGTCTACCTCAGAGAATAGCTGGAAGTGAAAACAAAACATGGCAAATTAATAAAATTATAGTAGTTCAAAAACAAAAATGGAACAAATAGAAAAGTTAATAAATGTGCTTAGTTATTATATAGTATAGAACTTCAATTTCTAGAATTTTACGTATTTGACACAATTTTTTTTAATGACTTTAACTTGGAAAATTCTTGTGAGTGTTTACCTAAGGGGATATTTTTCAACCAGATAGGACCACTACGAAAATATTAGAATCCAACTATGTCTTCTATAGTTCTACTCACAAATTCTTGACATCTGATTTAGTAGAAAAGCTGCAACATGCAGACTCCCGAAATTGATAATTGGTAGTGTAAGAAAAGTCATTTCCAAAACAAACAGCATAAAATATGCAAAGTTCAATAAGTTTAACCACATCTAAACTCTAAAGATTAAAAGATGTGAAAAACCCCCACTACAAGTTACAAGTACACACTTCAAATGTTAATACACAATTATCTAAGACTGCATACATTCTGAAGTCAAATATAAATATATGTGTAGTACAATAATACAACACCGCATACATCCCAAAAAGGGTCTGCTCAACTTTGTAACGTGACCTGTTGGAGTTGTTAGCTATGGAGAGAGCAACATCTAATGAGCAAAATATAATTTAGCTTCTTTGAAACATTAATAAAGACAGCAAAACACAATATCAACCTTAATAATAAAATTAAGTAGATAGTCCCTCCCTACAAGATTTCATATTTCTCAATTTTAACATTTGGTTTTCTTCCAAAGGACATCGTGAAAGCAAATTTACAATAATCTAATTGAAACAAAACAGCAAGATATGTTTTACTTCAGGGTAAAACTGAAAACATCAGTCTACAATTTTTTTAATTCAAATACATAAAATTATGCATGTAAAAGATTACTTTATGTGATAAATTGTTTCCACATATCATATACTACCTATGTCTCATAAAATTGCTTATTCCACAAGTGGCAGTTTCAAAATACACTTGACCTACAGCATGTCCTATAGGTCAGCAAGATATGTTTAACTTTTGAGTAAAATTGTAATATCATTCTACAAGACTACAATTAAAAAAATACTTGAACACATAAAACTCTGCATGTAAAATTAAAATATGTTTGTAGATATAACATAATCCCTCTGTCCTAATTTATGGTTTCCACTTACCTTTTTCGGGGTATCTCATATCAAGGTTCCCTTTCCTTTTGGGAAAAAATTATACGTAGTAGGTGTTAAAAAATAAACACACTCATAATAATACCACTATTCATTAAATACTCCACCCAATTACATTCTCACCCACCCAACTATTTACTTTAGCTATTTACCTTTTTTGATCTTTCTCTTTCCTAAGATTTGTCCTCAAACTACTTTATTTAATTACTTGCCTAAAAATTGTGCCCTTTTGCTATGGGAGCTTTTGCTGTGTCTTGTAAACTTCTCTTAAGTGACAGATTCAAAAAATACTTCACCTGCTTTTTCTTACTTTTCTGGTAAACATGTTCCATTTGAATATTCAAGTATATAGTTCCCTCTCTATCAAATCAACTACTTCCTCACTACTCTAATTATCTTATCTCATCTGTTATCACCTACCAATTAAATATTATATTTTACATTTTTATTTTGTATTTAACCTATTTCTTAACAAGTGTGTTAAAACCTACTTTGAACTTTATACGAGATAAGAGAGAATGACCTTCTAGATTATATAAAAAAATCATATGTATATTATTGTGTACAACCTCCGTTCTTTAATAGTTGAAACACCTCGACTTTTGCACTATTCACATACTCCCCTTTGACCACATTTTATTTATTGATGTACTCCCTCTGTATCACTATAGGTGTCACCCATTCTTTTTTAGGCCGTATCAAATTAATTGTCACATTTAATGGTCATGTTACAACATACATAGCCAAACTACGTGAAAAGTGTACCGTGACTCATGATACGGAGGGAGTATAAAACAATCATATATAAGATCTCTTTTTAAGTTTCTCTTGATGTAAAAAAATAGCCAAAGTTGTTAATGGTCATGTTTTGGAAAACATGAAAGTCAAATTTTTGCAACGGATATACTAGATTTACATAGCACATTGATTATCACTTATGTCTCCTTTGGTGATACCAAAGAAAAGTTCAAAATGAGACTACAAAGCTATCGAACCAATTTCTTTTTTAAAGGACTAGTGAATTGAGAATGCATGGAATTATGAATAAATAGACTCAGGGTACTACCAAGGGAATAAATTTCCTTCCAGGTGGCTTTATGTGAACATCACCTTCATCAACTTCACCGTCAACAACGACTTCTTCATCCTCTTCTTGCAATGACTCTAGTGAAAGTTCATTGGGTACAAGCTCTTCTGTCTTCTGAACATAGCCCTTTTCTGAAAGTATGCTTGTAACCTCAGACTCTAACAATGATAATGCTTTCCTTCTAGGAATCTTATTTTTAATTTGTAAAAGTTCCGACAGTTTAGCCCCAGCAATTTCCTGCAAAAAATATAAAAATGTATGTAACAAGGACCAATTCAAATCCTATGACTTGTGAGAGCAGAAACTGAATAGTTAGATGAAAGATAACAAGTGCATTAAACCATGGCTCAGGGAGTCGGGGTGGCTACAAATACTGCTAATTACTCCCTACATCCCATTATGTTAGTGACAAAGGGGATAGACATGTATAATATGGCTGATATTGTTAAGCATGGATAAGTGGGCAACTGAATATAGCCCAATAAGGTACAGGACAAACATTTTGGAATGGACCAAAATGGGAAAATTTGACAAACAAAATAGGGTGGATGGAGTAAATAATTACATTAAGAAAGAACAAGGCAAAATGTCTATGATTTATAATAGATAGAAAATTAGAAGTGTCCCTGAAAAGAACCAAATCTGCTTCATGAAAAGATCTATAGCATACTTCGACCAGATTGTAGAGTTCCTGAGGAGGCAGCTTGATTGCATCAAACATTTTTGGCTTTCCACAATTATCCACTAAAGCTTCAACCTCCTTACATATGGCTTGTACTGCGTTCTGAAACAGTAAACAAATAAGAGTTCAGTCAATTACCCAAATGTTACCTTTTTGAGCGCATTACATTTAAAGTTGCAAGTTCATATGCAACTGCTTATAGCACAAAAGATAAATCCCATTAGTAACAAATACAAAAAAATTAATATTATGTTCTAAGAAAATGATAACAGATTAACAGCTCTGTAAAAATGCAAGATGGAAAGTATTACTCCCTCCGTCCCATAATTATCTTCATTCTTTCCTTTTTGGTCCGTCCCAAATTTATCTCCTCTTTCCCTTTTTAGCAAAGGATTTGTGGTTCACAACCATTCTTACACATTTCTCTCTCCTCTGCACAATTCTCCACCACACATTTCCCACTTTCTTAATCTCCGTGCCCAGTCAAAACCGAAGTTAATTCTGGGACGGAGGGAGTATGACTTGGAAGTAGCATACCAACATATAAAAACACTTAGATAAAGTGCATCGCAACCGATGCCACATAGTGTTAAACACATGACTAATGAGCCAACAATCAAACCCTTAAGACACAACCAAATAAATTATGAATGTGGTGAAAATAAGTGAACTGATACTAAGGATGTTTTTACTTTGACTTATTTCAGTCTCATACTTAAATAGGCCAGACCATACCAGATTTTAACAAACCAGACCAGACTTCTACCGTTGTAAAATGCACAGATATCAGGCATCCACTAGACCAGATCAGACTAGACTTAAACAGACCAGACCAAATCAGACCATACAATTCCAATCCAAATAAAAACATCTTAAACCAGTTGTAAACCTAACATGAATTGCCTACCTGTCCGACTTGTACAGCTTCAAGCAATATTTCCTCGGAGAGAAAATCACAATATCCCTATGATAATAAATCATTAGAGGCTAGAGTCAAAATAAATGAAAAGGATAATAAAACATAATACTGTGATAGGATAACATCACCTAGTGAAAGCATATTTGGGGACTTGGGGCATTGGGCAATCATTGAGCTGTTATCTTAAGAATAATTTCACTACTCGGTCACTAAAACAAATTTTTACACTGTGGATGTTGAACCATAGTAATGAATAACATACTACATCATGTTAACAATAAAATGCAACATATTCTTTGAAAACCTGATAAATAAAAGGAAAGTTCACTTCAAGGAAATATTTTTCACATTGACGTGAACACATCAACATGATTTTGAAACCTCCAGTTAAAGTTTATTGGATACACAAACGGAATGCCTTACTTTACTTTTAAGTTATGCTCGACATACATATTTCTGCAAAGTGCAAACATATGATTACAACCAGAAGAGAGATATAGAAGGTTATTCCCGTTTGGCTTATCGGATATCTATATATGTGTGCATGCACAAATTAAAGAAGAAATGCATTGCAGTTCCGATTGAACTTCTCATCGTCCCTATGAATACGTGCATACAGGCTAGCAACAATATCAGGGGTGATGGATCCAACATAACTAGGTATCTGTTTAATGCAAAGTTGCAAACCAACCTCAATCATCAATATTGCATCATCTGTGCCTGCCAGTAACAAATCCAGCCTTGACTCCTCCATCTCTGTTGTGGTTGGATTTATAATGAACTTATCCCCAATAAGACCAATTCGTACTCCAGCAACGGCCTTTGAATTTGGTACTTCGGATAAGGCCCTATATCCCATTTAAGTTTTAAGCTATGTTTTATGAAGTGCATCGCCACAAAACTAATGTGAGAAGGTATACAATGTTAAGGTCGACAAAGAGATCAGCATACATGGCAATTCCAGCAGCTGTCACTGCCAAAGAATCGGGGGGATGCAAACCATCATAACTTAATACCTGCAAAGCACGGGAACTTGGTACTTGAATATGATATAAAAGGTGCATAACGCATATGAATTCGATGCTCGAACGAAGCGCTCGATAAGCTCGATAAGTATGCTGGAATGTAAAATTTTAGGTCATGCTCGAATTATTCGACAAGTACTCAATTCATTAATAATCATATTTTTATTTATAAAATCATAATAATTACATTTAACTTTTGACATATATATAAATTGTACCTATAATTTCAGGGTGTTCAATAAGCTCGAACTCGAACCGAGCCAAATACTACTATTCTCGAGCTCGGCTCGATTATTTATTCAAACTTAAAACTCAGCTAGTGTTCAAGTTCAAACCTTGTTAAGCTCGGCTTGTTAGGTCCGAAATCGAGCTCGAACTCGAATTGTTCGAAAAAAGCTCGATTAGTTAATAGGCCAAGTTTCGATAGATAAGCTTATTAGCGTACAGGTGTAGCATGCACAAAAAATGCCGAAAGATGTCGTATAGGAGGGGGGAGTGTATACCCAAGAAAGTACTTGAATTTCATGGTAGAATCCCTTAAGCATGGTTGGCCGCAGAGGCCTGTCTATCAATCTACAGATATGGACCTGCATAAATGATGTTCTTTCTAAATGAACTCTTACATCTACAAAAAAAAAACATTGGAATTGAATCTCATGAAAAGTGATGTTTATTTTGTAGACTCCTCATAGATCATCTTCATTAGAGTGAAATTAAATTCAAACAGACACTTATTTTTTAGTGTACTACACGAATCAAATGAGTGCTTGTATTGTGGTCTAATAACATAATGTGTAGAGAATATAAACAAAGTACTACTTAGTACAACAAAACGTAGAAGAAACTAAATGCAACTATAACTTGCAAGCCCAAAAATACAGTAGTCAAAGACTCAAAGCATATAATATGATAGGTGAGACTATAGCATTGAGATGAGTGGACGACCAATAACAGTCAGCAAAAGAGCTTATGCAAAAATTAGTACCTCATGATCCTTTGCTCTACCTTCTCTTTTGAAAAATCCTCCGCTGGAGATGGATTACAAACGTCACACAAAACAATAACAAAGAAAATATGGTAAATTAAGAAGTGAGACCTACCTGGTACGACCAACTGCTGAAAATCTTTCTTGGTATTGAACGGATAGAGGGAAGAAATCAGAAGGCTCACTCGGATCTTCAGAAATGCAGACAGTTGTGTATATAATCTAAAGAGCATAAAATATATCCATGACTCCATCAGAAACTAACATCAGTATTTGTTTTCCTTAACAAAGCTCAAACGTAAATGCAGTTTAAAATCTGAAGTCCTGAGGTGTGGGCGGATACACATACATGTCTTGATATGGATCAATATTTCTTTTTTGAAGGTTCCGGTATTGGTACAAGAATTATCAATGATTTTATTGTCGCTATTGCCTATTGATTTTTAACTATATTGATATTCATAATATCAATCAATGTTTTAATAAAATTTCGTATATGCCCTTCTATCAATGCATACATTTTCAACCTTAGGTATAAATAATACTAATGCAGTTTAGCTGAGAGTTCCATATGTGCAGAAACGTATTGGCAAAGCAAGTAACATCAAACAGCTAACAGATTTCAAACAACGTCAAGATATCAGAATCAATTGGGATAAAAACTCACAGTTTCTCCATCAGTTACAGTAACTGCGCCGCTGGCTTGCCTGCCTATACGCCCTGTCTCTACCGTTATCTGAAAATGACCCCCACCCCCACCCGCCCGACCACACGCGTGAGTGCAGAGATCAGTCGCCTTTCTTATAATGAACTTGAAATTTTCGGGAACAGAACTGATAAAAAAGGAGTACTGACATAACGATCTCCAGCAGGAATCCTGACAGAATAAGGGTGGGGCAGAGCTGCATAAGAGCCAGAAGGCAACGAAGTCGAAGTAGCTCGAACATGCAATTTATGCCAGAGTTTGCGGCTATTTCTTCTTCTGGTTAAAGCACTTCTACTGGAAATGGAGGACGTTGCGAGTTGCAGAGGATATAATCTGTAACGAGCTGTAGTTGGAGTGAATTGCAGAGGCCCGCCATGGAATGTGGGATTTGCTAGCATTTGGTCTAGTTGATGAGAGTTGTTTTACTGGGAGAGTGTTGGGACGAAGCTTATCCGTTTTGTGGGAAGCAAAAAATGGCGTTTGTATGAACTTCACGGTCCTCAATTATAACCCCTAACCTCTAAAAGATGCAAAATTAAATTTAAACAAAACTAAAGAATGTTAAGGAGTATGGTTTTAATGCACCAAACCCTCTTATTTGGAAATTCGGCGCATTAGCCCCCTGTGATTTAAAAAATGCGTCAAACCCCTTTGTGTTTTAATTAATCATGCACAGAACCCCCTTTATGAATAAGTTTAATGATTTGAAAATCATTTTTCCTAATATTTTGATTGAATATGCAAATAAATATGTCAAAATCTCTGAATCATACAAAAATGTTAATCATTTTTATTTTATTTGACAATTGAATTTTTTCACATAAGGGATTTGGCGCATGATTAATTAAAACACAGGGGGGGGTTGACGCATTTTTTAAATCACAGGGGGCTAATGCGCCGAATTTCCAAATCACAGGGGGGTTTGGTGCATTAAACCCTACGGAGTATTTTAAAAATTCTAGAAATGTGTTCGAATTTTCGCAATAATATTAAAATTAATATTTATAAACTTGAAGTATTTTATTGGGGTTTTGTTATTAAAAAAAGCTTTGGACAAAAAAGTGAACATTTTTAAAAAATTCCAAAAATGAGACTAAAAATAAGTCAAAAGACTATTATACCCCTTATTTCACTCACTGATGCTACAGTAACGATACAGTGACCAAAACCCAATAGTGACCAAAACCCGATAGTGATCAAAAACCGATAATGACCAAAACCCAATAGTGACCAAAACCCAATAGTGACCAAAACCCGATAGTGACCAAAACCCAATAGTGACCAAAACCCGATAGTGACCAAAAACCCGACCCCGATCAGGTATAGTTATCTAACCCGACCAGTTATAGTTACCCGGCCCGACCAGTTACAGTTACCCGACCCGATTAGTTACAGTTACCCAACCCGACCAGTTACAGTTACCCGACTCGTCCAGTTACAGTTACTCGACCCGTCTAGTTATAGCTAACCAACTCGTTCAGTTACAATTATCTGATTCATCCAATTAGGATTATCTGATTTATCAATTATAATAATCCAATTTGACCAGTTCTAATCAACCAATCCAACTAATTAACGTTGCCGGATTCGGTTACCCACACCAACCACCACCCTGCCACCATTAGCAATCACAACTTCCGGCAACAACTGCCAGTGACCACCGCCAACGACCACCGCATCCCAGCCACTGCTTTACCCAGCCCCCTCCACTGCCTCACCCAGCCACCCTTCCCCTGCGTAACCCCAGCCCCTTGCCCCCACCCCCAAGTTGCATCTCTAACCCCTGCACAATCGCATTCCTCCACCACACCCGTCAGTACCGGCCGATTGCTCATGACCCTCCCCAACCACATTCTCCTCACCTGCTCCCCAGTCCCTTTTTCTCCAATTCCGCACTGCCGTCAACCCAATTTTGAAAACCCTAATCGCCGGATCCTGGCCTTAGATCTGGAAACGCAGACAAATAAGAAGAAGCTTTGTGGGGCGGCGATATGGGACGGCGACGTGAGTCAAAGGAGGAGTCGACGGAGAAGAAAGAAACCAGGTGTCGTTGCTGGTGCGAAGGAACGGGATGTTGCTGGTGCTGGTGCGAAGGAACAGAATGTTGCTGGTGCTGGTGCGAAGGAACGGAATGTTGCTGGTGCAATAGGCAAAGAAGAAACCGATGGATGATGGAGTAGAGCTGAAGGCAGCGAGATGTGATGGCCTGATGGGCGATGGTGCTGGTCTGCTGGACTGCTTGCGCGATGTGCGATGGAGCGATGCGCGAAGGAAGAGAGCTGAGATTCGACGGTGTTTGGGAGCTGGTGCGGTGGAGTAAGGGTATTTGGGTCCGTGTACTAATAATCAATCTCTTTTTTGTCCACTTTTAAAATTGCTCTTATTTTTGTGTAAGGGTATGCTGGAACTATTATTTTTGCCATTCTTTCTATTTTATTTACCAGATAAAAATAATAATTTTTCAATTTAAAATTAAATACTACCTTTGTCTCTTAAAACTTTGTCATGTTTGACCGGCACGGAGAATAATAAAGTAAAAACTGTGTGGGCGAGGTATGCACGGAGGAGAGAGAAACAACATGAACCACAAATTAATTGATTAAAAGGGAAAGTGACAAGTTTTTTGGGGACGTCACAAAAAGGAAAGATGACAAAGTTTTAAGGGACGGAAGAAGTAGTTAACATTTTAACAAAAATTAAATATTTGTATTAACTTTTTAGTTTTTATTTTCAATTTTGGATTTTAATTTTGTAATTTTATTTATTTATTTTATTTTTATTTATTTAAACTCAATAGGGCTAGATTTAATGTTTTATAAGAACATTAGGGATATTTTTATACTATTTATAAGTTCTTGAATATATCTCGACTACCACATACTACGTATAATTCAGTGGTATATTCACACATTTCTCCCTCGTAAATTTGTACCAAAAAACTCAAAAAGATGGAAAGCTTGTTTAGTAATTCTAAATAGATTGAAATTTGTGAATTTCCATACAAACATCAAACATTTGAATTGTTTGAATCTATTAAACTATTTAAAAAAAATCTAATTTTCTTTAATAAAAGCATTATATTAATAACTAGTTAGAATTATTGTTTTCAACAAATTGTGCCAAATTCTTCAAAAACAAAAAAAAAACAAATGGTTCCAAATAAGCTCCAAAACTTAAGTTATAAATACATTTTCTTATAGAATTCTATCTTACAAAAAAGGCATAGCTTCTTTGTTTTTACACTTAATAATTGATAGATGAGTACAAAATATTATTAATACAAGCTATAAAATACTTTATTCGTTGTAAAAAGGTTCGTCAAATTGACGTTTCTTAGTCATTCTCAATCAACTTTGACCAGTGATATTTTTTAATACAAAATTATTTTGAATATGAAAGTTAAATCAAAATGTTCCTTATTCAAAATAATTTCGTAAAAGTATAACTTTTATAAACTATTGTCCAAAGAAAAGTCAATATGTCATACATTTTCGGGACGAATGTAGTATGTGATAGCTCACTGATAACCCACTGGTGGTATTGTATAGAGAAGAGAGAGTTAAGCGTTAGAGATAAAGTGACATGGTATAAAAAGATTTTTGAACCCTTTATATACATCCTTCTTGGGGTATTTATAGTATAAATAAATGTTAAGTGCATTAAATGCATATACACGTGTCGACTGGTCTATGGGCGAGAGTTCTGTTGTGCGGTAGAATGTGATGCATGGCTTTGTTAGTAGTATGTTGATCTAACGGATGAAGTGTCTCAGGACAGAGTGCCTGAACCCTCGTCCATGTTATTTCTTGCCTCGAGTGACTCTTGCTTGGGCTAGCCCAGACTAAGGGGGGCTATACAGACTGAAGTTGATCCAATGTGCTTGTATCCCGATTTTGTTATTTATGGTAATTTTTTTGTTGTTGTTGGCCCCAGTCTGGACGAAGTGGGTGGTCCAGTTGTTGTTGGCCCGTTTGTCCAAGAGTATGTGGGTCGTGGGGCAGAAAGGATGGCCAGTGATTTACACGTAACATAGATGTACGTCGGACCCTGCGGAAGAGTCGAAGAATCAAAGCAGACGGGCAACATGCTCAAGCCGCCATTGGGGTACTTTGGAGTACATGCCCCATGTGTGTTTTCGAGGTGTTGCAGTGCCATCCTTCATCCCTTCCTGATCAAGTATTTGAAGCCTATGAACTTGTTGTCGTCTCAACTGGTGCCAAACAATTATACCTTCATAGCCGGATTTTTGATTGACTTTGACGAGCTTAAAACCAAGATTTCTTTGCGCTTACTCTGAGGTGTTTCGGTTGCACTCGAACCTGGGCGGATAAAATGAGAATGAAATAGAAGATCATGGATGCGGTGACGGGGGGTCAATTTCTGGAGGGCAGGACTTATCACATCTAATGTTGTATATGAAAAGGTAGATAAAATGCACAACAAAAGTTCTGAAAATGAGAATGAAATAAATACATTTTTCTTTACATTCTTTTGTTTACAACACTTTTCTTTTCAGGTAATATGATATGCACTAATTAGTAGTGCATAAGTGTATGTTTTTATGTTTGATTTGTGTGTATTGTTTATCGTTTTATTTAGTTTGTAAACATTTGTGTGATTTTAGTTGTAATTGTATTTTAGTTCTCATTTGTAAGTTGTAAAGTAGAATTAGGAATTATGGTGTTGAAAAGGAGGACTTTGAAGTGGAGAAAAGGGAATTTTGACTGTCCAGGAGCAAATACCCGACCGGGCATAAGACGTCACCCGGTCGGGTCTGATTCAACAACCGAAAGTGCCTGGAAAGTGCACTCACCCGGTCGGGTCTCCTACCCCACTCGGTCGGGTCAGACATGACCCGGGACCAAACGACGTGCAGAAGCATGATAACATGGCGGATTATTTGATTTTGACATGCACCCGGTCGGGTGGGCACTTGACCCGGTCGGGTACCCGGCCCAAGGTGTTGAAAAACACCTATAAATAGCACACTTTTCCTTCACAAATAATCATCCCTTCTTCCATACTCTTAAGCTCAGTTTAGAATAGTATTTCTTTTATATTTTTATATCATGTTTAGTCTCCAAATGAGGAGCTAAACTTCCATTTATTGGTGTTGCTCTTGAAGCTTGTTGATTATTAAAGTTGTGAGTTATTTTCTTAACTTCTTTCCTTGAATATTAATTCTTCCTTTAAATACTATTTCTATATCAATGTCGGGGGGTGTTGCTAAGATGACAATTAGTTAACATCTTGACATTGGTCTTAGTAATAGCTATTCCTTCCTCTATGTTAATATTGGGGAGTGTTACTAAGATGACTATTAGTTAACATCTTGATATTAACTATAGTATGATTCATTTTCTTTGATATTCTTCCTTGAGTATTAATTAATTCATATTCATATTTCATATTAATATTTTGAGCATTACTTAAAGGATCAACTAGTTTTGTTTCATATATTAATTATTACTAGAAACGATCAACGAACCGATGGTTAACC